CGATGAAAGATGGCGGAACTGTGCAATCTCTGCCTCCGTCTTGATCAAGGATCTAGTCATCTACCACTGCATCATCAAATAACTCCTTTCTATAAGACCTCTGAAATACATCAGATATTATTACAATTACATTTTCGACAAATACACTGTGGAATATTACATGTATGCATCATACTATACTGACAATAATATTAGAAATAACCGATGTCAGATTTAATATTTAAATACAGACACTAAGGAAATGCCCCACACAAATAAGACAAGTCACTGATGAGATTATATTGTCCCTTTGAAGAGAGGAAACTGGGTAGGAATCAGCTGTTGGCTGCACTACATCATTACTTAAGGCATTGATTCTCTCGCGTTTTATTGAATGGTTCTCTGCAAAAAATGTTTACTGCATTTGGATCAGAAAATTTCACATATCGAATAACCAGAGATCTGTTAACTTTTTAATTTGGATTTGCATTGTTTTGTTTCATTGATAAAAGGAAAAAATGAAATAGAAACCATGGCAACTAAATCCTCTATACCTTACTGCATATTTGGGATCAGTTCGCCGTATCAAATGTAGATAACCACGATGGTAGCTTGCCTTGAACATGGATTTGTAGAATACTTGTTTTGCCGATACAAGAAACAGAATGGAACGGGAGCCTTAGCAAGCTCTTTGCTTCAGTTACCTCATCATGAGGCATCGCCTGAGCGAATGTTTTCTCTGACTTACCTCATCATAAGGCATCGCCTGAGCGAATGTTTCCTCTGACTTACCTCATCATAAGGGCATCGCCTGAGCGAATGTTTGCTCTGACTTACCTCATCATAAGGCATCGCCTGCGCGAATGTTTCCTCTGACTTTCCTCATCATAAGGCATCGCCTGAGCGAATGTTTTCTCTGACTTACCTCATCATAAGGCATCGCCTGAGCGAATGTTTCCTCTGACTTACCTCATCATAAGGCATCGCCTGAGCGAATGTTTCCTCTGACTTACCTCATCATAAGGCATCGCCTGCGCGAATGTTTCCTCTGACTTACCTCATCATAAGGCATCGCCTGCGCGAATGTTTTCTCTGACTTACCTCATCATAAGGCATCGCCTGAGCGAATGTTTCTTCTGACTTACCTCATCATAAAGGCATTGCCTGAGCGAAATGTTTTCTCTGACTTACCTCATCATAAGGCATCGCCTGAGCGAATGTTTCCTCTGACTTACCTCATCATAAGGCATCGCCTGAGCGAATGTTTTCTCTGACTTACCTCATCAAAGACACGCCTGAGCAAATGTTTCCTCGACTATACCTCATCATAAGGCATCGCCTGAGCGAATGTTTCCTTCCCTGACTTACCTCATCATAAGGCATCGCCTGAGCGAATGTTTCCTCTGACTTACCTCATCGTTGGCCATCGCCTGCGCGAATTCGTCACAGTCGAGGTGCAGATAGATGTCGGTCAGCTGGTCAAGCAGCTTCTTCGGCTCCCAGCCGTACTTGTCCGGGTTCTTCACCTTCAGGTTCTTGCACTTGGCGCCGCACAATTGCTGCAGGTTGAAGTTGAGCATCGCGGCGAGCCGGTCCGCCAACTCCTGCAACGCACACACACCGCATCGCCGTCAGTCGCACGTGCGTCGCCGTTGGTTACGCGCTCGTTGCTATTAGTTACGTGCCTGCAACCATTAGTTACGAATACATCGCCGTTAGTAACGCGCGTTGCCATTAGTTATGCACCCATCACCGTTAGTAACAAGTGTTGCCATTAGTTACGCGCCTCCTGCTCACAACCCTGCGATGCCACCCGCTTCCCGCTCTCAACCTGCGATGCCAACCGCAGCCTCGCCCCCTCTCGAACCTACGGCATGCCACCCCGCCTCCCACCGCTCACTCAACACCTGCGAATGACCACGCACTCCGCTCTGCAGCCGTCTCAACCTCGATGCCACCTGCCTCCCGCTCTCAACCCTGCGATCGCCACCCCGCCTCCTGCTCTCAACGCCACATGGGCGATGGGCCGACCCCCCGCTTCCCGCTCATCAACCCATGCGATGGCCACCGCACCTCCCGCTCTCAATCCCTGCGATGCACCAACCGCCTCCCGCTCTCAACCCATGCGATGGGCCACCCGCCTCCCGCTCTCACCCTAGCCGATGCCACACACGCCTCCCGCTCTCAAACCGCCTGCGAATAGCACACCTGCCCCCGCTCTAACCTAGCGACGCCCCCGCGTCTCAACCATTGTCGATGCCACCCGCAACTCATCGCTCTCAACGCCTGTGAATGCCAACCCGACCGCCTCCCGCTCTCAACCCTAGCGATGCCACCCGCCTAACACCGCTCATACACCCTCGATGCCAC